TGGTACATTTATACAAGGGAATACTACTGAGCAATTAAAAACAAGGAAATCATGAAATTCTCAGGTAAATGGTGGGAACTATAAAAGATCATCCTGGGTGATCTCAGAAGCAGAAAGATGTACATTGTGTCTAGTTTTGTAACTTATTGCCATGTTTGGTTTATACTCTTTCAAAGCTGCCTTTTTCTGAAGGGAAATGGAAGAGGAGTGGATAATAGGGGAGAAAGGAGGCGAGGGAAGCTGGGAGGAGGTGGGGGACTGTGGTTGGAATGTAATATATGAGAAAAGAATAAATTTTTAAAAAGAGTGTTGTTCATTGCCTTCAACAGATGATCACAACTGTAGCAAATGTGTAAAGTGTGAACTAGGGCTGTCAACTTTCTTGTCCTTTGTAGAAGGTGGAGCCAAGTACTTTAAAGCTAATGAATGGGACAAGAGACAAAATTTGTTAATTGCTTTAATTTAATTTTATTTCTATTGTTGTTTTGAGACTGTCTCGTTCTGTAACCCAGTCTAGTCTAGAAGTTTTGGCAATCCACCGCTTCAGCTTCTGAAGTGCGAGAATTAGAGGAGTGAGTCACAGTTCGTGCAGGATCTCTTTTATTTTTAGACAGAGTTTCGTGAAGCCCAGGTAACTCATGACGTAGCTGAAGATGACCTTCACATTCTTATTTTCCTGCCTCTAGCTCTCCAGTTTTAGGACTGCAGTTCTGTCCCACTAACCCAGGCTTTCCATGATAGTAGGGTGTTGAGATAGAATCAAGTACTTTACAAACTGGGGCACACCTTCAAGGTTGGCTCTTTCATTGTTATTTGAGGATTTCATACTCACATATGTTTTGATCAAATCCAACCTCCTACCTCAAGTCCAAGTCCTTCCCTTTCCCCTCCCAACTTCACATTCATCATCTTTTTTTTTTTTTTTTCCTTCTGAGATAGAATCTCACTCTGTATCCTTGGCTATTTTCCCTGAAACTCACAGTGTAAATCAGGCTGGATTTGAATTCACAGAGATTGACCTGCTTCTCCTTCTCCGTGCAGAGATTAAAGTTGTGTACCACTAAGCCCAGCCAAAGAAATTATACTTAAACTGTCTTAGTTAGGGTTTCTAGTGCTGTGATAAAACATCATAGCTAAAGGCAATTTGAGGAGGAAAGGACTTATTTCACCTTACAGCTTGTGGTTCATTGTCCTGGGAAGACAGGGCAGGAACTCAAGGCAGGAACTGATAAACACTGATGTCTTATAGCACCTGGGACCACAGTCTAGGGGCGGTGCTTCCTGCAGTGAGATTGGCCCTCCAAGATCAAGCATCAATCAAGAAAAGGCAACACAGTTTTGCCCACAGGTTAATCTTTGTGGGAGTAATTTTTTTTTAATTGAGGTTCATTCTTTCAAAATAGCCCTAGATTGTGTTAAGTTGACTTAAACCTAGCCAGCGCATCTGGTCCATCAAGCTACCCTTTATGGATAATATCTGGACCTGATATTCAAGCTAGCTGTCATTTAAGTTATTATTGTTGGAAGGGTTGTGGTAGCTGCCTGTTTTATTAATCCATTCACTATCCGGTGTGTTTGTTTATGATAAGGTCTCCTTATGCTACCCAGTCTGGCCAAGAATTACTAGACTCAAGTGATAGATTCTCCTGCCTAAGTTGTCCCAGTACTTGGACTACAAATGCATGTAATTGCATGCCTGCCTTCTGATGAAATATACATGCTTAGGAATGAGAAGCTTTTGAGTTAGCAATCATTTCTGAATTTAAGCTCACATTCACTGCTGTTTATTTCTGAGGAACAGTAAGGAATAAAGACTGCATCCTTAGTTATCCAATCTCAAGCCCTATTCACACCTTTCTGAGATAAGAACCTTCCTGGAAGGGGACTGTCCTCAAGCACCGTGCCATCAGTCCTGCAGATTCTGAGTTAGTAACCTTTCCATTTCAGGCGCTTCCTCTAGCTCTGCAGTTAATTCCCCCCTCTTGCAGAGATTCTGTTTCCAAGGAATGAGCCTCAGCAGCTTTCCCCCTTTCCGTTGTGCTTTGACTAGAGGACTTGCTGCATGGAGAACAGCAGTTTCAGATTCCTGGAAGCAACCACCTCTGCTTATCTTGTGATCCAGGAGCCTTTCTCTGTTTGAGGCAAAGCTTCTTAAACTCCGGGTTGTGATGTCATATGAGTTGTGTAATTTATTGCGAAGCAGGGGCCATGAGAAATTTGGCAAGGTTTCTGATGCTGGGCAGTAGTGCCTTTAATCCCAGCCGGAGGCAGAAGCAGGCAGGTCGTTGAGTTCCAGGCCAGCCTGGTCTACAGAACAAGTTCCAAGACACAACCAAGGCTACACAGAGAAACCCTGCCTTGAGAAACAAACAAACAAAAAGTTTCTGGATATACACACAGAACCAAAAATTAATAAAAAATCAGGCATCATGATTCTGAGCTCAGTCTTTGGTAGTACTTGACTGTGTGGCAGCTCGTGCCTTCACTGAACTCTTGGTTCTGAACACACATGCGCATTTTGCTCTGTGCACTCTGGCACACCATACAACACCGAGGAACACAGCTTGAAACACTAATGCTCTGTTAGAATTGCAGTGTTCTCACTGGGCATACAGTGTTCTGTTTTTTACAGAAACAATGATTTAATTGTGGAAAACACAGACAATATATATTTTTTTAATCATCATTCCTCTGTATGTATCATATCAGCATATCTTTGGGTTATATTGTGTTAGGGTGTTTGATGTTGAAAATGGCTGTTTGAATTGCTGACTTAAGTTTCATATAAAGAAATCATTAAATGAAATTTTGGCTTGGAACTAGGACAGAACTTCCAACAGTTTCTGAATTGGCTGTAACCATACTTCTTCTGTTTCGTAGTACACCAGTCTTAGGGCTAGCAATCAAAATTAAAAAGTGAAAAATGTCGAAGACACCCTATGTTCTGCAGAATTAAAGAGTTAGGATTCAAATTCTGTATAGATTAGCAATAGCATTCATCCTATTATTTATTATTATGAGGGAATGACCCTAGGCGAGTGCTCTGCCCCTGAAATATAATCCCAGCCCAAAGCACAGATTATTGTTTTTAGTGAATAGCAAAATCTTATATATACCCAGGAACTGTTTTAAAATCAATCTACGATTATCAGTAAATGTTTGATTTGTACCTGTTTTATACTAATGTAGTTTGGAGTCGGGTAAACTTTTTTTTTTTTTTTCAGGCAAAAAGGGGCCATAAGTGGAAAAGTTCAAGAGGCCTTCATATAATTCTACCTTGTCTTTTTTGCAGTCTGTAAGGGGCTTGATGTCAAAGCTCAAGTATAACGGGGCTTGTAGCTCACTTTGGGACAGGATACAGCTCTTCAAAGAGTGGTCTCAAAATTAATACACACACGCACGCGCGTGCGCGCGCGCGCGCGCGCGCACACACACACACACACACACACACACACACAGTTGGGGATGGCTCATGTGGAGGCTAGAGGAGGACTTATGGAAGTTGGCGCTCCCCTTCCACCATATAGGTTGTGGGAATCGAACCCACGTTGTCAAGATTTCCCTTAAGGGGCTTTACCAGCTGAGCCATAGTGCTACCCACTCTTCTATCTCTTAGAGCAAAAATTATGGAGTAGTTTTGCCCTTTGCCCGTTCAAATTTCTGTTAGACCGTAGGCCTCTTCATTTTTTTCCATATCACTGTCCTTCAGTTGTGGATTTAATTTTAACTTTATTTCACTCTTTAACAAGACGAGGCACAGTGCCTTCTTTTAATGTAATTCTGCTGACAAACTTGTACCCAGCCCAGGCTAAGCAAAGTGCCTCATTTAGCCTACCTACCGAGCGTCTGTTAGAATCTGTGGGTAGGGGCTTCCTGGAATGTGACTTACAAAGCGGCCAGGCCACCCTTTCTTGGAGAGAAGGAATAGAACTGAGCAGCTGGCAGTGGGAAGGGCAAGGCCGCCTCCCTCTTCCCAGCAGCTGTCTTACCAGGCCTGACCTCCTCTCCCGAAAGGCTGGGGTCTCCACCTCTGGCCCAGGTCCAGTCGGGTGGGAGGGTGGGTGGCTTTTTCCGGGCCACTGGCACACCCTCTCTATCGTAGCCACCTGCCCAGGTTCCATCCCAGCTCCAGACTCCCTGGAGGGACTCGGGGACATTCCAATCCTCCCACTACCCTCGCAGACGGCGCGGGAGGAGGGAAGGGGGCTTGCTTGGCCTTTCTAGAACCCAGCTTTTGTCTCGGCCTTTTTTCAACCCCTAGTATACAGAGTCACCCCGTATAGGAAACTAACGATTGATGAAAGGCTTGAAGGTTGGCAGTTTACAACCGACTCTTCGGCGAAGCCGCAACTTCGGTAACAGAGGCACTTTGGAAACCGTCTGCACTCTTGCAGACAATTGAAAGCCAAACGGCCAAGTTGCCTCCTCACCAGACCAAATATGGTCACAAGCGCTAAGCAGCCTTCCGTGGAAAGTCTGGCCTCGCGGGTGTCTCCCTGCGCCAGGGTGCGCCCCGGCCCGACCTCTGGCAGATCCGCGCCCCGTGCCACATTCCGGGTGCTGGGCGCTCCCCCGAAGGCGAGGGCACAGCGCCCTGGACAGGCCCATTCTGGGCCCTGGCCCCTCAACCGCGTGCCCTCCGTTATTCTCAGGCTTGTTTTTTTTTTTTTTTTTTCTCCATAACCCCTTGATTTAACATGCTTGAGCCATTTTCTCTTTGATCCCGCCCCAAGTCAGTGGTAAACTCAAAGGAATGCAGATAGAGCGCTCGGCGGGAGAGGTCGGCGCGGCGGGGCGGGGGCACGGTCTCTCCCGAGCCACGAAGTGCCCAGCCCACCCCCGCCAGCCAGGCCAGGGTAGGAGGAGGAGGAAGAGGAGGGGCGTGGGGCAGGCTGGCTCCGACCAGGAGGTCATGCATAATTCAACAGCTCCACTTTCGGCCCGCCTCCTTCCTAGGGGTGGGAGTTTGAAGCAAACTTTGTTTATGGGACAGTCCGGGAGCCGCTGTGGCCGCGCTCGTCTGCGTCTTCTCAGTCGCCTCCTCGCGCAGTGAGAGCGCCCGGGGCCGGCTCCGGGGATGTAAGAGTCTAAGCCTTCGCCTGCTAGGAATCCGTTCCGGATCTGCCAGCCGGGGCAGGGTTCCAGCTCGCCAGTTCGGGAGGCTCCCAGGCTCGGCTTCCCCGCGTGCCCAGGTAGCACCCGCCACTCGGCGCACCCTCCCGGGCGCCCGGCTCTTAGGCGTCCTCAGCCGGGGCTCTTGGGGGTCGGTGGTGGGTGTCTTGGTCAGGGGAGGCTGCGACCGGGCCTGGTGCAGGCACCCCCCACCCCTCCTCCTCCCGCCGCTGCCTGCTGGGGGGAGTTTCTCTGCTGCGGGAAAGTTGCATAATCTTGGAGGCCAGGGGCTCCCCCTCCCCCACAGGCTGGTCCCTCACCGGTACCTAACTGTCTCTGTTCTCTCCGCCCTTCCCCGGGACCCCCTCCTCCGACTTGAACTAAAAGGCTGAACCGATCTTCCTTTTTGCCTTGCAGAAAGATGAATCCGTCCTCGGTGCCCCCTCCGCTCCCGCCGCCAGGGCAGCAAGTCATCCACGTCACGCAGGACCTCGACACGGACCTCGAAGCCCTCTTCAACTCTGTCATGAACCCCAAGCCCAGCTCGTGGCGGAAAAAGATCCTGCCGGAGTCCTTCTTCAAGGAGCCCGATTCCGGCTCGCACTCACGCCAGTCCAGCACCGACTCCTCGGGCGGCCACCCCGGGCCTCGACTGTCTGGCGGCGCCCAGCACGTCCGCTCGCACTCGTCGCCCGCATCTCTGCAGCTAGGCACCGGTGCGGGTGCCGCTGGAGGCCCAGCGCAGCAGCACGCACATCTCCGCCAGCAGTCCTACGATGTGACCGACGAGCTGCCGCTGCCCCCCGGGTGGGAGATGACCTTCACGGCCACTGGCCAGAGATACTTCCTTAAGTAAGTCTGTCTGCCGGCAGCCAAGAGGGGAGTTGGACTTGAGTGAGAGCAGTTTCCTGTAGTCAGTTTAACTTCATCCTTGGCCCTTAGAGATCCGGGACACCGGAATGCCTAAACCCAGGGAAAGGAAGTCCGAGTGACTTTGCCCCAAACCTAGATCGCAGGCCCTCACCTCCTTCACTTAAGTTAGCTAGCTCAGAGCCGGTGAGTAGGTGGTCCCGGTTCCTCAGCCGCTCAGGAAAAGCGAGCCGGAAAAGAGCACAGTGTCTGGGGGCTTTACCTCTCCCGGCTGGTGATGTAATGGCCACACCGCACAGTAATGTAATTACCGACTGCACTGTAAAGGAGTTATGGGCTGGACCGACAGATTGTGTGGAAATTGGGTCAGGAGTCTTATGTTACACTTGGTAACCTAAAATACCGTCACAGCACCAGCATGCACTCTCACCCTCCGTGTCGCATCCGTCTAGCTTTCTGATGTAGTGAATTTCGCATTAGATTCAGTTTTTGGATTAGATTTTACAGGGGGGAAAAATGAATTTTCAATTGCTGGAGGGGATTCCTGAAATAAAAACAGGCTGGTACTTGAATTGTTATCAGAACCAGTGAGGTCATAGGGGTCAGGCTAGAAAAGGCCTAGATGGAAGATGGGGCTGAACCACGTGGTTGAGAATCACTTCAACCTGGCTAGTCTTCACTGCCAAAAGGGAAGAGCTTGTCTGTTTTGCGTTTCTCTGTGTAGCCTTGGCTGTACACCAGGCCGATGCCGAACTCACAGAGGTCCGCCTGCCTCTGCCTACCGAGCAAACGCTGGGACTAAAGAAAGGCACGCGCACCACCACCGCCCAGCTTAAGAGGTTGTCTTAAAGTTCATCTCATTTCTTTGTTGAAGTAGCCTCAAAAGGTTCGAATGTAAGGTAGCTTGTACTGTTTTAAAAGTGTAAGCAAACTCCTCTTTGGCATTAATCTTTGATCCTTTGATTACTTGAGGCCCTAAGAACGAGTGTCATGGCAGTAGATGAGGTTTATTTTGGGCATATCTGAGATCACACTGGTTGTCAGATCTTTCTTCCCCATCTTAAAGCTGTTGACATTGTGTGCACATTTAGATTTATTTTATGAGTATGTGTGTGTGCTTGGATGTACATATGTTTACCACATACATGAAGTGCTGGTGGAAGCCGGAAGAGGATGTCTAATTCCCGGGAACTGGCTGTGAGCTGCAAGCCCCTTCCTTAATTTGGGATTTGGGTGCTACAAACTGAATCCCAGTTCTCTGCAAGAGCGTCAAGTGATTTTAACCACTGAGCCTCTTGGGGATACATTTTTTTGTTTTGTTTTGTTTTTAATCTTGTTTTTTGGGGTTAGTGTGATGCTGGCATCCTGAAGCCAACTCAAGGGCCTTTTATCACAGCTGGTGTCCAGATTATTGAGCCAGGGTGTAGACGGGTGCTTAGTGCTTTGATTTCTAAATGGAGGTAGAAGTCAGGTATGTGATGTAATAGCATGGCGTTTTTTCCAAGTTAACAAGCGGAGACATCAGTTTCTGTAATGCACACATGTTCAAAATAGCATCATGAATTAAGTTCACTTAGGTGCATATTTCACCATGACGTTTACTGATGTAGACTTTGAATAAATATAGAGTCTCAATAATTCTGGACCGTCCTTTTTGTCTCAGATCTCTGAACTGCTCATGAATACACACATATATATGGAAGAGCTGTGCTTGCCTAATATCTGCAGGAACCTAGACAAGAAACGACCTCTAAATAAAAACATCTTTTCCTACATGTGTTTCTAATGGCTGAAGTTGCTCAGATGTGTTTGTGAGTTAGGACAAAAATAGAAGGTAGCCTTGGGTAGAGAGGCAGTTGCTGTGATTCACTTCTGTCCACCCATACAGCTATAGGCACTTCTACGACTAAAGTCGAGTGTTTCTTCATTTTTCTTTTGAATAGCAGATGGAGTGTAAATAGTACTCTGGCATGACCTGATGCCATCCCTGGAAATTTGTTGGCTAAGTGACTAAGAATTTAAGGAATTATGTTTTTGTGAATATTGTCTTGTAGAATAAGCAGTCTGCCAAGAGTTCTCGATTTCCTGTAGAGCTTTGTTTGAACTTTGACTAAGGTGAGTGTTCTGTGTCATTCTTTGTTACACAGCCTCAAGAAGAATGGTAGCTGTTGGCCCTGATAAGGTTCTCTTGAAATTTCTCTGACTCGTTCTAGCATCTGTAAATGGGATGAGCAGAAGAATCCTATTCTTGGCTATGGGGAGCTCAGGGCTGTTAAAGTCAGAAACCAAAGGAATTTATAATTGATAAGGATGTGTTTGAGAGTTTGGGATTTTTTGTTGTTGTTGTTGTTGTTGGTTGGTTGGTTGGTTGGTTTTGTTTTTACTTTTCGAGACAGGCTTTCTCTCTGTGTAGCTCTGGCCATCTTGGAACTATCTTTGTAGATCAGGCTAGCCTCAAACTCAGCAGTTTGAGGGGTTTAGTGGCTTTTGCTGTTTGTTTATTTATTTTGGCTAGACAAATTGAGCCTAGAGGAGGATGAAGATGTGATTTGGCAGAAGTCATGTTATTTAACAGTGGACTCTGACAGAAAGAAATGATATTTCCATTTATTTTGAAGCAGTTGTTCTTTTCTCTTTTTGCCTATGTCACTTCCACAGCTGAACAGGGACTTTACGGGGGAGGGGGGAAGGAGAAGAGCCTGGACATCTAAGAAGCTTTTGACAGGTTGGTACTATTTTCTCATGCAAGATAGATTATTCCTTGGCCAAGAGGTGGTGATCCATGCCTTTAGTCTCAGCACATGGGAGGCAGAGGCAGGCAGATCTCTTGGAGTTCAAGGCCAGCCTGGTCTACTGAGTGAGTCCAGGACACTCAAGGCTACACTAAGAAACCTTATCTCAAAAACAAAACAAACGAACTAACAAAGAGATAGATTATTCCTAGGTATTATTAATACTGGACCCACTGAGGACCTTCTCCTTAGCTTCCATACTGAGGTTTTCATTTATTTATTTTTTTTAAATTTCTGAATATAATGGCATACATGGTCTTTATGTATGAGCCATGAAGCAAAATGATGAAGAAAATGATGACCTTCAGTCAACTTTTTCAGTGGTTATTCTATAAATAGTACTGTAGAAAAGTAATAGTTCTATTAGAGAAAGTTTTTTTTTTTTCTGTTCTTACATATAATAACACTGGCCAGTCTTAATAATTTTTATTAGTATTTTACTTTTTTGTTGTTGTTGTTGTTTTTAAGGACAGGCTCTCATGGTATAGCTGTAGCTGTAGCTGGCCTGGAATGCCTGCCTGCCACTACCTCCTGAGTGCTAGGGATAAAGGCATGCTCACCACACCCTTGCTGTGTTGCCTTTTCTGAAATTCAGGTTAAAATATTGTTTTTAACCTAACATCTTCACACTTGGTAACAGATCTAGTAGTACAGACTCTTTTTTTGGTTGAACAACAGTGGCTTTCTTCTCCTCAGCGCTCACAGACTGGAATATTTAAAGTTTTAAAATTTGTGTCTTGTATTTCATTGAGGTTTCCTGTTTAACCCTCAGTGATAGACTCTGATAAGATAGGGAGTGCATAGTTCCTTATCCTAGTTTTCCTTTTCAGAGTTTGTTGTTTACATATCTCCTGTCTCCTAGGTCATCTTTGTTATGTATTTGGTTTGTTTTTTTTTCTCAATTTTTATCTATCTATCTATCTATCTATCTATCTATCTATCTATCTATCTATCTATCTATCTGTTTAGACAGGATCTCTTGTACCCCAAGCCGTTCTCAAAAGCTGAGGATTACCTTGAACTTATGACTGATATTGTAGCCTTTACTCCCTGACTGCTGCTGGGATTTCAGGCCTGTGCCCCCATGCCTAGTTTATATTGTTGAACTCAGGGTTTCATGCAGGCTAAGGAACTACTCTATCCACTGAACCACACACCTCAGCCTATTTTGTCACTTTTGGTCGACTGTCCCATTCTGTAAATCAGTGATATTTGGCTTGCTGCTGTTTCTTACAGGTTGTCTGTACACAAGGACCTTCCATGTTACCAGAGCCCCGAACCTATAACTGAATTTATGCTTTGTCTAAATGGTGAGATTGGTTCTCACTATGTAGTCCTGACTATCCTGGAACTTGCTCTGTAGGTCAGGCTGGTTTTGAACTCACAGAACTCCATCAGCCTTTGCTTCCTTGCTGGAATTAAAGTGGTATACCATTATACTCAGAAATTCTTTTTTTTTTTTTTTTTTAATGTGTATAATGTCCATGTGTGTGCTGGTTCTTTCAGAGGCCAGAATAGAGCATCAGGTTTCTTGGGGCTGGAGTTTGAGGAATTTGTGAGCTACCTGATATGAAAGCTGGGAACTGGACTAGAGTCCTCTGGAAGAGCTCTTAGCCATTTATGGCTCTTAGCCATCTATGGCCTTCATAAACAGTTCTTAGGGCTGAAAATCCACAGTCAACATTTCTATAATTTTAATTTTATAAAATGATTCATTTACTTTTGTATTAGTTAGATTTAGATTTTATCTAGTTATTGTTTTGGTTTTTGAGACAGTCTCTTACTATGTTGACTTTGAACTCATAGAGATTAACTTGTTTCTGCCTCTGAGAGCTAGTTTAGGTTGGATTTTAAACTAAATGTGACTGAGATTACAGATCTTTAACCAGTCAAGAGAGAATAAATATGTCCAACCCACAATGATTTTTTTTCTTACTCTTCATTGATTGAATCTACATGCCCTTCCCTTCATACTTCAATCATGATTTTTTGAGACATGGTCTTATTTTGTAGCCCAGGTTGGCCTCAAATCCATGATGATTGATCCCCCATTCAAGTCCGGAGAATTTGGATTATAGCTGTGAGTGACTGTGCTGAGTTTTGAACCATGATTCTCTTTCTTCCCGAAGGAATACTTTTTAAAAATTTAATTGTTATATATTAATTCTATGAAATAATAGTTTATTATGA